ACTGATGTATCGGTGCACCTCTACTTTTATTGGGCCAACTATATGACAGCAAGAGAGAGAGAGAAGCTCTCGGGTACAAAGTACCCCTCATCAGGTCAAATATTCCCAACAGAAAGGTTTTTGCCAGGTTTGAGTTCGTGCGTTTCTCCCACAACCCTAGCTTCTTTGATGTTTATGCAATAATCTCTGCAAGCATAAATATACCTCCAAATTAATTACATGATTTAAAAAAGAAACCTTTAAAATCAATTCTCTAATGCTTCAAAAGACTGTGTTATTTATATTAATTTACTACATACATTGAAGAAATATGGGAATTTAACAAAGTAGCAAAGTTTAGTAAAGTGACCAGTTAAGAATGGAAAATATTTCTGTGCTTTTGCCCTTTGGATTGACTGATTCTCCAGTGTGCCTACATCTATCATAACAGTCCAGTTTCCACAAATGTGACTGCTTTATTTTTTGCAATTCAACAATCTGGCTGAGGTAAAGCAATTTCAGAAGGACAAGTCAAACTGTCTGTGAAAGTCAGTTTCTTTATGCCTAGTTTGGATGCAGGGAATTAGATAAAATTATATTACAAAGTATGTATAACTTACATTAGTTTGAGCAGACTTGAAACCATGGGTGTGATGCTAATGTTGAAGGCTTTAAAATAAAGGGTGGTAAACATGGTTCCTAGAAGAGTAAGATGAGTATTTTTAGAGAAGCAGTGGATAGAAAATAAATAGGCAGAGGACATCAGTCTCCATGACTGCCCAGCTAAAAGCTCTCAGGAGCTATATTAATACACCAGTCTTTTGAAGAGAGAAGTGCTATTTGCAGATGGTTCCATTCAGATGATTGAACTTGAAAATTATTGTTTATTTTGTAGAAAATGAACAAGAAAAAGGAAAAAATAGTACTGTAAATAATGGTGACATGGATTTATTTGTTGATTTTTTTTTTTTTCAAATGTGTTTGTGTAGATCAGTCATTCAAGGCTTTAAATATTAAGTAAAGATTAGGTAAATCAAATTGTAACCTTTTTTTTGTATTTCTGTTGGAGGAGTTAGTGTTTTCTTCTAGTTCCTTTTTGCAGTGCTATTTAGAGATCTGTAGAAAATCATCATACATTCATTCTTCTCTATTGAACAATAGAATTTTCTCCTTCCTTTCTGTGTAGTAAGGTGTGAAGATGTGACTGTTTTGAAGCTGGTCATGTGCCTTTGTGAGTACTGTCTTTGTCTCCTCTTCCATTGTGATTCAGCTTTTATTCTCCAGGATTTGACTTTTTGCTCTACAGCACTGTTTGACTCAGCCCAAGCGTTTTTCAAGCCTTGACGTTCCACATACATAACGCATAATACTATTATCACTAATAACGCTTGAAGATTTTTTTTGCCATGTACAAATAAAAGTAATTGTGTATGACATCAATTTACTGTTTTTCTATCCTTCTAATAAAAGATCAGTGTATATACTAGGGAAAGGTTCAAACTGTAGGGAGAACAATACTTCGATGTGTAAACTTCAAGTTGAAAAGTCATTTTTAACAATTGAAGGCAAAGAGCAACATGCACTAACAGTTATTCATACTGGCTAAGTGCAGACAGTCAAAAAGCCCCAGGCTGAATCGATTCAATCTTTGCAGGTTTCTCTAAACTGCCTAGATTGGACCAGTAATAAAGTGCACCGACATTCACTTTTGAAACCGGAAAGGCAGCCAGACCCCTGCAGTTGGCCCATAATAGTAGCTGGAGGCGGAGGGTTGTGGGGTGCTAGAGCACTCCTGATGGCCACTGCAAATGCAGCCAAGCAAGGCTGGTTGACTGGTTGAGTTGGAGGAGTGTGTTGGTGAGACTAGTTCTGTGTGAAATTGGTGTTGATTTGTGTCTAGTCTTTTGAGCCCAAGTGTTTTGCTGTAAGACTTCTCTGGTTTGCCCCAGGTAGTGTTGCCCTAGCACAGATAGAGAAGAGGCAGAAGTCTCACTGGAAACCTTTTAAGTATACAGATCCAAACCAGGATATAATCACAGGTTGTCTGAATAACAGTAACTGCTGGGATAAGTATTATACCAGTTGGAAATTCTGATGGTTGTCTTTGGAGGAGGGACTTGACTTAAGGACCGAGATAGAAGAGCAGAAGAGACTTTTTAACAGTAGTCGGTGTGGGATTCATTGGGCATTGTTCTATAACTCTCGTGTAAAGTACTGTTGTGCACTTAATCTGAGATGAGCACAGTGAATCAGTGCAAGATGTCAGCTTTGAAGGAAAATATCCAAGAGCTAAAAGTAGTAAGATGCTTGTTGGTACATTTTTGTTGAATTTACTCTGGTACTTTTAGTCAGAGAGCCTTGGCTGGCAGTAGCCTCATTTTTGGTGCCTTCTATCTGGAAATTGGTAAAATATTTTTATTTTTATTTCATCGGTACAGGTACATCAATATATTGGTCCATATCAGATCAGCAGTGATAAAAGGAAAATTGACATTATTGGCAATTGGCTTTTTTTGGCCAGTGTAGTCAATAATGTCGCCAGTAAATGCTGAATACAGCCATAGTGTGCACGCGGCCAGGAATGCAGCCCGACAGCTTGGAGAGCAGCATCCGTCTGATAAGTCTGTGGGAGGGAAGGGGCATGGGCAGGGGCGCAGATCAAGGCCCCCACAGTGAGGGAGGGAGAGGGGCAGGGGCAGGCGCTGCCCAGCTATGGCAGGATGTGGGATGGAGCATCCTGGGAGTGGGAAGGGGGCGGGTCCCTGCTGCTGTGCACACCCCTGGGGGAGGCATGGGGGGCATGTGCCCCCCTGGATTTGTGCACAGGGTGAGGGTGGCCTGCCTGCTGTGGGCTTACGGCTAGGGGCTGCTCTGGCCTCTTCCCGGTGGGGGGGCTTTAGTTTCTTTTGGCAGTACTGAAGCACGGCGCAGTACAGACGGTTGCTGTGCCACGCGTGTAGCACACGGATAAATTTCACTGCTATGTCATCGTGGTGCCCTGCAGTACCCAGGGAGCATGGTGCTACAGTGATGTAGCTGGTGATTATATGTAGACGCATGTGATTGCTACCTCGCTGTAGTGTGTTTTACATTGCCATGTTGCCATAGGGCAATGGGTAGATGCACCCCTGGAGACTCAGGGTAAGTCCTCCTGAAAACATGGAGTGTCCAGGTCGTGTGGCATCAGGAACTTCCTGGTGTGGTAGATCTTGTCACCTGTGATACCACGCGTCCTGGACACTTATGTTTGCAGTAAGACTTTGCATCAGACAAAGTTAGGCTCCAGACCCTTTCAAAGGCCAGTAGCAAGGCTCTTAGTTCTTTGGTATATGTACAGTAGTTCTTTATACAAGCTCCTGTAAATAAATGTGTTGTTTCCATGAGCCTCATGAAAATACTTCAAGCAGCTCACTTGTGTCCTTGGGCCTGGCTACAGAGCTCAGCCAGGAGCTACAGTGAATGGGTTAACACAGGTCTCTACTCCCTTCCCCGCTTCAGTTGTCTGGGCAGACGCACGTGGCAGCCTTCTGAACAGCTTCAGGGTGTGCAGCATGCACGGTGTTTCCAGGAGTGCTCCCCTTCCAGCAAAGAAAACTGCTTCCCTGCATAAAACACACATCCCAACTGAGGGTTGGGAGGGCTGACTTCGCACGGTGGGGAGAGGGGAATGTGTATTATATGTAAGAAAATACGGTAAATGCACAGTACCAGTGTGGAGGAAACCAGTTACATTGTCAGATCACTTTCTCTTGCAGAGCATAATGTGATTTTTTTCCTATTTTTAATAGCTTTACCCCGTTTGTTGCTTTTTAAAAAATGGGGATTTTGGAAACATCCTTGCCAAATTTTTCCATATTTTATAATTAGCTTTAGGACTCTTCCTGAACAAACTTCACGCCTCCTGATTTGCGCCACCCCCCGCTCAAGTTTCTCTTAACTGTCATCTCTTTGGTGGTATTCAAATATAGCATTTATGGAGCCATTGTGTATTTTGACGTTGAGTGTTTTAAGAAGTTAAATGATAAAGCATATGCATAGGTGTTTGCAGGATCAGGAACAACATTTTCACTACTGTTATAGATAATCCCATTGAAATCAGTAACATGAAGCATGTATGTAAGTGTTTGCAACCAGGGCTGTAATAACATTTTGCCGTTGACTATTTAACTTATTTGCCAGGTGTTACTAGGCAAATTAAATCAAATAAGTGTATGATATTTGAGCCAATAACAGTTTTTTAAGCAGTTCAAAATTTATGGGTTGCTGGGGGAAAATTATGGAATTCTAATCCTTGTATGACAGCACAAGAAGTTTTATAGTGTAAGAGCGGTGTTGTAGCGGCGATGGTCCAGAAATCATATGAGAAGCAAGGATTTCTTAGGGTGCTGTTTTTTAGTGGACCATCCTGTGTCTGGTTCCTGTGATCAGAGACCTGAGGAAGAAAGTCTTGCGTTGAAAAGCTAGACTAACTATGTAGTAGGTACAGTAAAAGAAATACTTGCCTCTTACATAGGAAGTTTTTGACATGACTATTTTCCCATTATTTGTATTGCAAGAAAAGTTATTTCATTACGTCTTGCCATTAAGTCTTAATTTTAGTAGGAAAAACTTCTTGTTTATACAGAAAATCAGTAGTGCAGAATTTTTACTGGATTGTTTTAGTATGTATTGGTTCTTACGGTGAGGGTTTAGAAACATGAAGGAAGTTGGGTCTTGTAAAGAGGAGTAAAAAAAAAAAAAAAAAAGTAGACCAGAGGAAGGGGCAGGGAGACGGGAAGGAAGAGGTAAACCACAATGGGGGAGGGCAGAATGGGGTGGTGAAAATAGGAAGGGAAGAAAGTAGAAAAAAAGGAAAGAGTAAGAGGACCAAATTGTTGCTTTCTGTCAGGCATAACTTTACTGTGCCTGATGCTAAATGCGTCTAAAAGCAATTTGTTACTTACTTTTCTATTTCAGAACATAGATCTGTGCTTTGTTTTACAGACTTGTTTAACATTGAGTAACTTGTTTTGGTTTTACAGCGTAAAAAAAATGGAGAAGATGGAGAATCAACTATTGTTGTTGAAAAAGACCATTTTATGGATGAATTCTTCCAGCAGGTAAAACAAGTGCAAAAGACATGAATTTTTCTAATGCTCATCACTTCAGTGTATGATCCTATTTAACAAAGTTTTGACTTATTTACATCATGTTCTGTAAGTTTTCTCAGTTTCTTTTGATTTTAAAACGTAAGCTTTTTTTTTTTTTGGTCTGTCAGCTTTGTCAAGTCATACCTAGAGAAATATTTGTTAGAACACAAAAAACCATGGTGCATCTCAACCCTGTACATCTATCATGGCAGCGTTCTTGCTGCTTTTCCCACTCTCGAGTTTTAAAAGATAGATGTGTTAACTCTTTGCTGCATGACGTTCTGCTTGTGAATATAACCCCACCCCCGCCCCAAAACCCCCCAATTTTGCAGTATTTAAGCTGTTAGGCATTCAAACTGTCCCTACTTTTGTTATTCTATGACAAGATAACTATTCTTTTTTTTCTTTATTAGATTACTTGATTTCATTGGTGAAACTGAGTCCAAGTACTCTGTTTATTAATTTTGCATGCTGAAAATCTAGTTGTCTTGCATTTGTCTTACATGTGTGTCTGCCTACCAGAAAGCATGTTTAAGTCATCTTAATGTGCCCTGTGTATTTAAATATGTGACCGGCTTCCTCAATTAATGAAAAACATTTCCTTCTCAGAGATTCCTGTCTTTTAAAAATGTGCTTTATGCTGGGCAAGTATTCAAGCATACACACATACCTGCTGTTAATATTGGTAATGTAGAGTTCAAATTGCAAATTGGGTTATAAAACTTTATCACAATTAAGCCCAGACGTTGACGGTACTTTGTATCTAGTATTGGATTCTGAGGTGCTGCCCAATTTATGGTCTAAAGTCACTTGGAATTTCTATTAAAAAGTAATTTTAATGTTTTGTTTTGTCTTTTATTCAAACTAATCTCTCTTTTGTTTGTCTGCTAATTTCCCCCTTACACAACATCATATAAATCATCCTACTGTTGCTTCTTTCCGCTGCATGTTTCGTCTTTTTGTCCGTGTATTCAAGACCTAACCCTGGCTGGTTTCTTTGTATATCTTTTTTACCGTGTTTCTATATTTATATATATATATATATATATATATATATATAGTTTCTATTTTCTGCTACTGATTCCATCTTTGATAATACCTTTTACTTTTTTTCCACAAATGTCATCTTCTTGGAGTCCTCTGTGGTTCAGCGGTAGAATCCCTGTCTGCCACACAGGAGGCCCGGCTTGAATTCCCGGCCGCTTATACAAATACCGCCATGGAGGCACCAAACATCTGGACTCAGCGTGGCTTTTGGATGCTGTCTCAGTGGCCAAAAGGGGGCATGGAAGATCTGGGCAGTAGGCCTGTGCGAAGTGGCCAGTATTTACTTTGGATTTGGATTTGGCCAGTTCAGAGGACAGTGATTCAATTCAGTGATTCAAATCACTGTTCCAAATCGGTTTGGCCGAATCTGCTTTGGCCCCATCTCTGAATCAAACAGGCCCCATCCCCTGTCTTCTCTCCTAGCCCCAGTGTCCCAGCTCTTTTTTTTTAAAAAGCCCTGCGCTCACTGGCTCCTGCCAGGTGGGGGGTTATCATCCCCACTGCCCTACACTGCATGAGGGGCTCTGCTATGAGCCCCCAGAACCCCTGACAGCTGCTGCTGCAGCTGGTGAGTGTGGGGTGTTTTTTTTTAAAGAGATGCGGGGGCCAGGCAGGGCAGCCATTGATGGGGCTAGGAGAGTGGGCCGGGGTGGGGGGGGGGACACTCAGGAGGGCTGGGGGAGCAGGCAGGGGATGGGGCCTGGTGGGGGTCCCCCCATGGTTTCTTCCCTCCTCTTCCACCCCCCCTCCCTGCCCCCTACTTACGGCACAGAGCCCGGGTCCAGCTCCCTGTAGTGGCAAATGGGGAGTGCCCGAATTTCCGAATCTTTTTCTGAATTGATTCAGACCTTTTCATTGGTCTCCCAATTCGATTCGGATTCAGAGATTTGGCTGAATCTCCTCCGAATCGAATCGGCACCCTAAGCGTTGCACAGCCGTACTGGGTAGCCTCCGCTCCTCCAAAACTCCTGCCAAGGCCTATGCATTGAAGGTCTGGGTGACGTCTCACACATACACCGTGATCTGGAAGGATCAACGACTGCCAAACAACATCATCTTCCTGCCTTTGGTTGATCAGATGCCCTCTCAGAATCTCAATTCACTTTAGTCATCTGTTTTCTAAAAACCCACTTCTGATGAAAGGCTGATAAAAATTCTGTATGAAATACTACTACTTGTATTACTAATGCATATTATCGCTTAAAATTCAGAGGTAGAGCTATAGCTGTGTCTCTTCTTGTACACAGCAGAGGGAGGGGCCTGAGGCACATGCATCCTTCAGTCTTGTTTAGGCCATATTTGCCAGAGGGTCTTATCTCTTGGAGAACAGTCTGTTTGGAGCTATGTAGGGTCACACATTAAATCTCATTTGCATTATGGGATATTTTTCTTTTGATTTCTTCTCTTCCTACCTTGTATAAACATATATTGCATCAAAGTAACTAACCACCTAGCTAAAAAGGCTTGTGTCCTCTTTTGATGCTATTATGTCTACATAAGTAATTTTTCTGTGGAGTTTACATAGTGTGCGCTTTCATCACGATAAAGGTCAATGCTCAAGCTGATTCTAGCAATCCCTTGGACTAGCATGGCTAAGACACTGTGGTTCTTGTAGCCAGTGGCACACAATGGAGTCATGTGGCTGGCATCATACTTAGACACCTTTTGTCTCTCGAGCCCAAATGAGCAGGTACCTATTTACAGCTGGACTGACTAGAGAAGACCTTTAGATCACCCAAGATCAGAATTTATGGACCGTGTCATGGTTGGTTTATCATGCCTGGTTTGCTTACGGCCTGTACCAGAACATGTTTTCTTGAAAACTACCCAGTCTTTTCAACTTTTTAGATATTTTTTTTTTCCTAAAACAAACAAACTCATACCCTCAGGACAGTTTTTTTTGGTGTAAATGACTGCTTCCTCCACATGTTAACTTTGTTGTAGGAACAATTGTATGCAGTAAAGTCACTTCCTCTGTGACAGATTGTATCCTGTTTCCTTTTAGTCATGAGAACGACACAAAACTGATCTTCTGGAGCTTTAATCCTATCTATATCACAGTTTTGGTATAGCAAAATTAGGCAGCACTGCATGAGCTTCAAGCTTGTAGCTAGTGTGCAGTTTCAATTGCTCGGAAGCTTTTAAAAAAATATTAAAAACTGTGAAGCTGTGAACTATTATTGTAAAAACATTATGTTTAGCTTTTAAATACTGCCAAGACATTGTAATATAAGAAAAAGACCTAAAAGACCACCTGATCAGTAGACTATTGTTCAGATCCAAGACCTGGTTCCACACTTGAGTGGTAGTGTGATTTGTAGAGTGAAACATGAAATATGATCGTTGTGATTGATTCAGTTATTTTGACTGAGATTTGGAGAGTATATTCAGCATTGTAGAAGGCATTTCAGTATAGAATTTTATGCCGTTGCAGTATTCTTTTTGAAGCTGGTTTGCCTGTTCCTTAAAATATCAGATTTTCATTTTATTAAAGATACTTGATCTTGTGTTTGATATTTTAATCTATAATGGAGAGAGAATATTTAGATATCATGTTTGTAAACAGTATTGCCCTTTTCTTACCTACCTGCCAGTATGGTTCTTATGGAAGTTACATAAAGAACATAACATCCTGGATAGTCTTGCATCCAGCTAGTTCTTTCCTCAAAAATTGCACCATCATTATTGCTCCAGTTTATCCATAGATGCTTCTCAAGCAAATCCCGGGACATCATTCTCCCCTTGTACTCGGCCTTGGTGAGGCCGCAGCTGGGGTACTGCATCCAGTTTTGGGCACTGCAATTCAAAAAGGATGTGGAGAAGCTTGAGAGAGTCCAGAGAAGAGCCATGTACGTGATCAGAGGTCAGGAAAACAGATGTTACGACGAGTCTGAGCGCTATGGGGCTTTTTAGCCTGGAAAAGCGCAGGCTCAGGGGTGATCTGATGGCTACCTACAAGTTTATCAGGGGTGACCATCAGTATCTGGGGGAACGTTTGTTCACCAGAGCGCCCCAAGGGATGACGAGGTCGAACGGTCCTAAACTACTGCAAGACGGTTTCAGGCTGGACATAAGGAAGAATTTCTTTACTGTCCAAGCCCCCAAGGTCTGGAATAGCCTGCCATTGGAGGTGGTTCAAGCACCTACATTGAACACCTTCAAGAAAAAATAGGATGCTTATCTTGCTGGGATCCTATGACCCCAGCTGACTTCCTGCCCTTCAGGCGGGGGGCTGGACTTGATCTTCCAAGGTCCCTTCCAGCCCTAATCTCTATGAATCTATTTATAATTGCAGTAGTGGTGCCTAGATGCCATGACAGTGGGCATAACATAGAAGCATGAGTACTCGGTGAAAGCTGTTGCAGAAAAATCGCCATCATAAATAACAGTCAGTAACACTGTTTAAGCCACAGTTGGATCAAATGGTTGGTAGTATGACCTCCTACCAATAGATGGCACTGGTGTTATATTAACTTTTATTAATAGTGAACTAGAAAATGTCACCATGTTTCCAGTAGGTTATGGGAAAAACATGGATTCCATGGTGAATGGAAAATTAGGATCCCTGTTTACATCTAACATTAGCTTCACTGTCACATTTACTGTGATATAGATGGGATTAAAGCTCCAGAAGATCAGTTTTACTGTAAATTTATTGAAGGGTTAAAGAAACCCTTAAAAATTTATACATCTAATATTAAGATAAATTGTACACCAACATGTTCCACTACTAATTCTTAAATCACATCTGCTGCTAAAACATATGTCCTTAAAGATTATTCACATGTTCACTGGATTCTTTTTCAAGACATTAGCATTAGAAGTAGTAATGCACTGTAAGGGATTTGCTAAAAAGGAAGCTTCAGCTTAAAAAACATTGATCTTTAAAACAAATACATCCATATACAAAAATGTTTTTTAAG